CCTCCCCTCCCCTCCCCTCCCCTGGTTGCTGCTCCTGCTGTTGTGCTCCTCCCCTCCTCCCCTGGTTGGTGTGGCTGCTGGTGTGCTCCTCCCCTTGCTGCTGCTTAACTCACGTCAGACTCATCGACCATGAGTCTAGACTAGTCTAGAGTCGCCCCCCCTGAGCGACTCGTCGACTCATCGACTCGAAAACATTGGAACCACCTCTCGCAGTCCAACAATGGAGGGCCTCCTCGACAAGCCCCTGAACCCGAACAAGCTTCTTAAGGAGCAGTGAGTGCAAAGTCCAAACCTACCTGCGTTTGCCACCACTTTATTCTCGTCCGTACTGCTCTGCTAACTTCTAGGTACTCTCCTCCTTCATGATGCAGATTCGTGAGCAACCTGACGGGGTCGTCCCTGCTGGAGATCGCGGCGCTCTCCACTATCGTGCCGGTGACTGATTAGTTTCTCTCCCTTAGATTCCCAATATTTTCTGTATCTATATATGCACGTCAGGGTTGTCGTCTGATTTTTTTTTTTGGTTCACAGGCAGTGGTGGTTTTAAGGAAATGGAGCAGCAGAGGTCAGTTGGTTACAGATACTGTAATTTTTCATAACCATTTATACCTTTTCGTGTAAGTGTAGAATATTTGTTTTGCAACAAATGTTCAAGTGAGATAGGTGTTATGACTGGAAAGTGGAATTCAGTTGCCAGTATGCTACAGTTTTGCACATTTAGCGTTCTGATCATAAATGTGTATTTTTTGATATTTTTTAACAAGGTATTTTCTGATATTCAACGATCCGGCCCAATCTTTTTCATGTCCCAGCATCTATATTGATAAATTTTACTTGACCGTGGGCAGCTAGCATGTCCTCTACTTTAAACTGTGTTGTCCAATCTGATGCTAGCTATGTCATGGCATCCTTCTCAATTTTTCCATGTTTTTTTACCCTGATGTAGTCATTGTTATCAATAATAAAAACTTCTTTATTTTCATTCATGGAGCAAATCTGACAGAGATTCTACTTCCTTGTTTTTATCTTATTATAGATAATATTAGGAGGGATTCAGTGAAGAAAAATGATGATGCTCTTGCTGGTCATAAAGATGGAGTGTATTACTTTTCAGCGTTGGTTATAGATTTTCTCACTGTTGTATTGCCTATACTTCTGATTTTCACGGCAAGTACCCTCTTCATTGCATTTTAATATGTTTACATGATGAAATTGTTAAACAGCATAAATCAGGGAACGTGCAAAGCACACACTTATACTGAAGTACTGAACTATTCAGTTGTCATCTACCAATCTTTGGATGAGCTTTAACATTTTTTTAGCTCATAAGTGAATCTGTGGTTATTCCTTTGGTTTGTTGCAGATCTTAGCTGAATGGGCTTATATTTGTGCAATTTCTCTTGTAGCTGTGATATCTATCTACATCTTGTTTAAAAGGTATTTGGTATTTAGTTCTTACTCCAATTTTTGTGATCTTGTTTTTGCTGCTCTAATTCCCTTCTGATCTCTTTTCGTGAAACACCACCCATGGTGATCTGGAGTTATATGACACTGCACTTTCAGGTCTCAGTCTCATCTCAAGGCTCAACAGCATCTGCCTTCTCTTAGGGCAGACATATCTTCTTACCGAGTGTCAGTGGTATGCACAAGTTTATTGATTATATAAGTAACACATTATCGCTCCTTCACCAGCACTAGAAATGGAGCAGTACTATTGCAGTATTAATGGTGATTGTGCTCTTTGTAGGTTTTAGTGACATGCGTGTCCATATTGGCAGTGGATTTCAAAATCTTTCCTAGACGGTATGCAAAGGCTGAAACATATGGTAGTGGCATTGTAAGTTAATTCGTCCAGGCATTTTCTTTAGTTTATCTTTTGTTTTTACAGGTTCTTCTACCTTATTTTCGTCATGAAGGCTAATTAAATAGCCAAAGGTTGTTTACATGGTGTGTAGACCCCATGATGGCCTAGTTTTATAATCGTCATCATTAAGAATTGCACAAAATCATGAACTAGTTGTGCAGAAAATGGCAACAACTGCAAATTGTGCATATTATTTGGATTGCAAAGGATTAACAGCTTCATTAGATTGGTTAAATGAAATCCATTTGTCAGTCATGGACTCCTCTGGAGCAGTGGCGATTCCATGTGTAACCTGTGGGGTCAGCTGACCCCACAGGTTTTTTGATTGCAAGCCTAGTTCTACTCATATTTGTGCAAAAAAATTAGAAGATTTTAGAGAGATTAGTGCATTTGAACCCACAGCCTTTTGTTGCTGGCACCGCCACTCCCTCTGGTGCATCAAGTAGAGACGTATCTGCACATTAGGGGCTGGTGTGGGTTGTGTTACCGGTAATGCCCCCTGCTGCTTCACAGCCACCGCTTCTCCTTCAGCGCACTGTATCGCTGCCCATCCTGCTTTGCACATGGAAGTAAACTCAGGGCACAGAGGTGTGCCAGTCCAAGAAATTGTTGAGCTAGTAATCAATACAAAGCTGGCCCTGTGATCCTCATGGTTTTGTTGCAGTTTAAACATTCCTTGTTCATCTCCTGGCCCGGACTCTTCATGCCCTAATTGATCTGCTGGCTTCCATGCAAATCGCTGCTCACGTATATCTTTGCTTGGCTGGTCTATGCTCATAATCTCATACATTGGATCAACACAATGCAATCTCATGCATTTCAAACCTGTGCTACGAAACTCCACCGGGTGAGCTCAGCAGTGCCACCGCTGCCGCCGCTGACTTCATGCCTGCAGCATATTTTCGGAGTCTGTTTTACGATCAGAACTGTAGCTTGCAAATATTGCACACGCCAAACTCTTGTTTCGTGTTTGTGTGCACACACATAGAACCGGATTGTTTGAGTCAATCTCCACACATGCATGGTCTGGATTCTTCCAGCTGGGCTCAACAACGTCACTACAGTTTTCTCTGCCGCCATTTGTATGCCTTCTGCGTCTCCTAGCATCATCATATCTATCTGCTCTGCTACTGCTGCTTCTAGTTGCACCTTTGATGCTGTTACCCCTGTATGCGCTGCCGTTCCTCCTCTTGTGCTTGCCTCCTCCGCTGTGCTTGACTGTGTCGGCTTCTTGCAACACCTCTACAACTGCTTCTTGCTCCGGTGTCATTGCCATGGTTGTATATGTTCAGCACTGTGAACCTGACTCTATCTGATGTGGAGCTGGATTATATTATGTAACTCAATACCGATTGACAACAGCCGTCGTAGATTGACTTGCAACCTTGTAACTCCCGAAATCTGGTGCTTCATCATGTCTAAACCATACTTGATGAAGGCCACAATCCTTAACTTTACTGGAAAATTCAAACCTTCTTTACCTGTTGCTGCAAGCCCTTGCTAAACACGTGATAATCTCCTGCGGCAGTATCACTACCCTGGTCTAGGTTGCTGACCTGCAGGTCGAATGCAATTTACTGATGTCCACCGCACTTAATAGTCATCTGTTGTCATCTTTGTTGGTTGTCCAGTTTTTATGCCTTTCCCCTGTATGATTAGGTCATCAACTACTGTTCATCATTGCTTATTTTTTGTTCTTCTGGAATTGACACAAGTTTCTTGTTTACAAATATGCCTTGCTTCCATTTTTTCGTCATCAATCTATTATTTATTATAGTTGTTAATGTCAGGTTCTCGACCCGTGCTTCCTTTCGTGTAATTTGGATCATGTTTGCCATTATTTCTGAAAGATCAGAAATCTGACCTGTCTTCCAACATAACAGATGGATCTCGGAGTAGGGTCTTTTGTAGTGGCTAATGCACTAGTGTCTAGACAAGCACGAAACATAACCTCATTGTAAGTGCTTAAATGATCTCATTTGTCTTAAAGAAAATCTTTTAGGGCTTAATGAATATATATATATGGATCCAACATGATGCTAAGGATTCTCATCCCTCCGTCCCAAAATAAGTGTCTCAACTTTGTACTAACGTTAGTACAAAATTGTACTAAGGTTAAGACACTTATTTTGGGACGGAGGGAGTAGTTAAGTCGGAAGTAACTCACGTGAATACTGAAACTAAAAGGCAAACTCTGTGTGAAAAACTAGATTCCTGTTCTGCAAAGTTAATCCTACTTTTTCTATGATAATACTTATTAGTCAATAGTCATAGTGTTAGATACTGTCGTCCGTCGGGCTTTATGTCAAAATGTTCTCACTGCATAAGTTGTTTCTGTAGATACTCTAAAGAACTAATGTTTATTTATGTTGACTGTTTGTACTGGACATAGGAGCTTGTAGGAACCTAGAAGTTTCAACTTCACCACTTACATTATGGTGTGCTGAGTTTTTTTTGTCCTTTTTAAATTGAGGTACAAAGTATTACAATTCTGCATGCAAATCTTAGCTTTGTTAGTTCATTGATAAACGAAGAAAATTATAATCATTAGTAGCATTCAAGATAAAATGACCGGTCCATCTCTTCTTTCAAATAAGATCTGTCCTGCATCTTTTCTATTTGCATGTAGGTGGTATTTCTGTGTTAATCGCTTCTTGTTAGGTTGTTCTCCAAGTAGCTTTCTGACTTGGTATTATTTCTCATATAGATGAAAAATTACTGTATGAACATACCGACAAATTATCCCGTGTTTTGTCCAGTATCATCACAAAAATGCACAGTTACTTTGGCAGAATCATTGTTTCAATTTTGATTTTTTTAGAAGATAACTGTACTTTCTGACCGTTAGATCTGCCAATAGGCACTATTCAACAGCATAAGTATTCTATCTCATAGTGCACCTTCTGTTTTTTAGGAGATGGAAGGCAGCACTGAAGTCCATAAGTCCTCTAGTATTTCTTGGCTTTGCTCGTCTTATCTCTACATCAGGTGTTGATTATCAGGTACTTTTCTTCTTTGTGCCAATTACTTAAATTACGCATCCGCCAGAATTTATCATGTAATGCCATTTCTGCAGACTTGCTAACCTTTTTGTTGTGTTTACCTGTCCCTGTCTATTTTCGTATTCTCACTTCCTTCATTTCTAGATACTGAAACCCGTATTAAGCAGAATTAAATACGTATAATAGTTACTAGCCTACCAAAACGTCTTATATTTGGGCACGGAGGTAGTAGTAGTGAAAGTGGAGTTGATTAGATTTAAGTTTACAATGCATAATCAAAGGTTATTTACTCAAATTTTTCCGTATTAGAATGCTGTCTTTTCTGAAGAGCTATGTTCCTTTTGTTACCTTGTAGGTACATGTAGGAGAATATGGTGTCCATTGGAACTTCTTTTTCACCCTTGCAGCAGTTTCTATCCTTACATCCATTATCAGGATTCATCCTAAATATTGCGGGACAGTTGGTATGCTTGTTCTTGCAGGTACTAACGTTTCTAGTTTTAAGTTCCGTTAGAAGGGCTTAGAGGTGCTACAATTCTCCTTTTCAGTTGATAAATTGCTCTTATTTATTTTTACAGGATACCAGGTATGGCTAAATTTTGGGTTGAATAAGTATCTCACATCTGATGAGAGAAGTGGTGATATCATTGGCCAGAATAAGGAAGGCGTGTATAGCATATTTGGTAAAAAATATTTATGTGCAATGATTTCTTTGTCATTTCTTTCCATAAGATGCCGAGGAACATAGAGGCGTAGAGCCTTCCAAGCTTGTTTTTTGTTTGCGTGTATAGCATATTTGGTAAAAATATTTACGTGCAATGATTTCTTTGTCATTTATTTGCATAAGATGCCGAGGAACATAGAGGCGTAGAGCCTTCCAAGCTTGGTTTTTGTTTGTTTGACAAAATAACATTGCTGGTCCAGATTTGTACAGAAAGCTTAGTGAACAAACACGTGTAATACTTATTCACCCACGCGCACACCCACGCGAGCATATGTGCTATTTACATTAGAAAAAGCGGGATAAATCCACAAATATCACTAAATTGAGCACATGTGTGTAAATGTGAGCACTAAAATTTGAACCCTGCTGGGTGGAGTCATGTACCCACAACTCCACCCCAGGAATAGTTCGCTCTCTTTGTATCATTCTTTTTTGTTTTGCTAAACTTTAATATGGCGATTATCTGTTCTGTTACTTATTAGGTCACTTTTATATCTGAATATTCAGTATCATAGTTTTCCATGCACCACATTATGCGATCTAATGAACTCCTTCCACAGGATACTGGGGTATGTACCTGATTGGTGTATCTCTGGGTTACTTTTTGTTTCATGACCTTAGTTCAAAAGGAAAGATTAGGAGCACTCAAGTGGTAAAAGTATGGGTTCTCGCAGCATCATTTTGGTACGAAACAATGATAACATGAACACCTATGAATAAGAGTTCTAATATTCCTTGGCTAACATTTTCTCTGATGGCATGTTCATAGGATTTTGGCAATCATTCTTGACAGCTATGTTGAAAGAGTCTCTCGACGAATGGTAGGGTACTAACTAACTACGTCTTGGTTTTATTTACACTGGTACTAAAAATGCAAACTCATATTTGAAGAATTGTGGTGATAGCTATGCAACGTAGCAGCAACTTATGGTATATAGAAAACAGTACTGTGCTCTTATTATCTCAATGGACATGTTATGTTTGAACATGATGATTAAGTGTAAGAGTATGACATATATTTTCATAGTATTTAGGTTTGGTCTACGTAAATCTGAAGTAAGAACATTTGTTGCATTGCTGAAATGTAAACCTTCCACTCATGCAATGCGATTCTTCCAACATGAACGGATACGCGGGCAAACTACCTTCCCAAATTAAAGTTTTTTTAGTGAAAGGAAATGCTACAGTTACTACAAACTAGTTTTGCACTCGAAATTGGGTCAAAGTAACTCCAGCAACTTATCTTTTATCCAGTAAAATGATTCAAGCATTTCATTTTGCAGTGCAACTTCGCCTATGTTATGCTTGTGTTTGGCCAGAATTTTCAGGTATTGTTATTTCCTTTCTCGCTTTTATAAACTTATAGCATACATTCATTTGCCAGATTAAGGCATCCAGAAGACAAGAATAATATGTACTCCCTCTGTCCCATAATATAAGATCTTATTACATTTAATTTGCTCACAAATTGGATGTAATAAGATCTTATATTATGGGACGGACGGAGGGAGTGCTTTAAACGATAGTACCTTCAGTTATCCAATTGTGGGCCCTAAAAGGGCAAGGATAGTGTTAGTTTGCATAGTTTATCTTCTCAAATGAGGATAACATTCAAATTTCAACTGAAAATAATATGCACCAGAGCAACATAGCTGAAATAATGTGCACTAGCTGAAAAATGAGGTTTGAAACCAACTGGTTTTAATATTTAACGATGCTGAATCTGATATTAGAGCCTGGAAAACTGGCAAGATGCACACACTTCTCATCTTCAAATGCATGCTACCTAGTTACATTTTCTTTTTGAGATCATGCAGAACTACCATGTAAATATATTTGGAAGAAGAGTTTTATTAAGCCAATGCATTATGCGGGGCAGAACCATCTGTGTAATTAAAAGGAACGAACACTAAATGAAAATCAGCAAATGACCTAAAGCTAGAGGTAGCCACCAAGCCCTTTGGCTCCAGCTGCAACTCAATATACCTGTTGTGGTGTTGCCTGAAGGGTCTAACAGCAATTGAGCCAGCTAATACTTACAATTGGATTGTTACCAGTTATGAAATTGCTAAAAAATGCTCAGGCTTCACTATTCATGATGGCTACTATTATAATGACAGGTTATATCTATTCTCACACTAGCGGGGTCCATTTCACATGACAAGAATTTGGTTCTTGAGGAAGCATTCAATCAAAATATGCTTGGCGCATTCCTTGTGGTAAGATCATGTCTCGTTATTCTTATTGCTGATGCCAAAATGGGATGTACTCCCTCCCTTCCAAAATAGATGACTCAACTTTGTACTACCGTTCCAAAATAGATGACTCAACTTTGTTCTAATTAGTACAAAGATGAGTCATCTATAGTACAAAGTTGAGTCATCTATTTTCGAACGGAGGGAGTACAACTAATAGGATTGAATTGTCAAATTTTAGCAGACATGTACCTCTTTAAGCGGTCAGTGTAAAGAAGCTGATATTTACATGCTCTTGCAGGCAAATATCCTAACTGGTCTAGTAAATCTCTCAGTTGACACGCTTTCGGCCTCTCCCCTCGCTGCCTTCATGATTTTGGTAGCATACACCTTTACTTTGTGCATGCTTACTGGTCTTGCTCACTTTTCTGGTGTTAGGATAAAATTTTGGTGAATATGGATTTTGTCTATCTAGTACTGTACGAGTAGGGCGTTTTGGTGACCGAGCTCCATGGAGCCCTTTATTTTTGAAAAATTCAAAATTCAAACTTTTTGACTTCAAAAAATTCTGAAAATAAATATGTAACTATACACGGATGAATGCATGTGTGTGTAAAAATTCAAGATGAAATACTTCGAAATGCGACCTATAGAAAAAAGACAAATTTCTGGACTTTGAGGATGAATAGTAACATGTGTTAAAAGGCCTCAGATTTGTCTTTTTTGCACAGCCTTCATTTCAACGTATTTCGTCCTAAAAATTTACACACATGTGTGTTATGCCTCCATGTATATCTGTAATTTTTTTCAGATTTTTTTGAATTGTAAAAATATGAATTTTCATGATTTTGGTGTTTTTCAAAAACCGGCCTCCATGGAGGCCGAGCTCCAAAAGGCATTTTCGGTACTGTACTTTGTATGTATGGAGTATCTAATCTTGATTTTGAGGAAGACACGTTTGTGTATTGAAACCGAGCCCTAAGGGCTCGTATGTGGTCAATTACTAAAGCCCTACCCATTGTAGGTGGTATATGAATCAAGATGAGTGTTGTTTATTCACACAGTACTCGTGATATCCAATCTACTCCCTCAGTACCATAATATATGTCGTTTTAGCAGTTTAATTTGAGCTGCTAAAACCACATATATTATGGTACAGAGGAAGTAATAAAGAGAATAATCCTTAAATGTTCCACTTTGTTGCAAATTGAGCAAACCCATCACTAAACTTCCTACTGTGTTATTGTTCACTCGAGGTCCAAATGGCCTTGAGTCAAGATAAGCCGCAAATTGGTTGTTGATCAGGACTAGGTGTGGGGCCTGTCCAGGGCCTAGATATTGGCATTGGCTTTTTTACGAACGGCCTGGATATCTCTTTGTTCCAAGTGGTTCAGAAGCCTATCTCACGCGTCGTAGCGTTGTATGTGCTGCAGTCCCGACTTGTCTCCGTTCTTAGACCCCGTTTGAAAGTTGAAACAGAGGAAGATAATAGGAATTTTGGAGAATCGTATTCCTACAGAAAAACATATTCCGCCGGTGCCGTTTGAAACAAAGGAATGGCCCACCAAGGATCCTATGGAACAGGGCAATGCAAAGGAATTTTGGAGGAAAAGACGTCGTGTTTTCTCTCGATGTGTCTGTAGAATCGTAACCATAGAATATGACCCTAATCGAAATGCATACATTTGTCTCATACACTATGGGGATGGTGAGAAGAGATATATTTTACATCCTAGGGGGGCTATAATTGCAGATACTGTTGTTTCTGGTACAAAAGTTTCTATATCAATAGGAAATGCCCTATCTTTTAGTGCGATTTGAACTATTGATTTACGTAATTGAAAGTAACCAATTAGGTTTACGACGGAACCTAGAAATCGATCACCGATCCAATTTGACTGTGGATTCGTGCGTTTTACTTATATATCATATCAATGTAAAAAGACCCAAAGAGACAGATCCAATTAATGTCGGTCATATGTCAATCCAATGACCTAGACTGCTTCAATGTCGAGTGCTCAACACATTTAGCGTGCAGTTAATTTCATGCCAAAAATAGTACTAATCACATAATAACACGCAAATAATATCCTATTTATATCCGCATGCATTTAATATACTTTTAAATTAATGTACATTGCACGTACACGTTGACTAGTGGTGTCCAAGTAGCAAGTCTGGTGTTCTCTTGTGTTTCGGATTCCGGTGAGAATTTAGGTTAGAACCGAGTTCCAAATGGGGTATTTATGTGGTGTCAATCCGAGTAAGAACAGTAGAGGGAGAGGCGAGAAAGTGAGGGGTCAGCACTCACAGAACGTATCCTGTGCACCCGAGCGACTCCTGCACCAGGTGCTCCAATGTAAATGAGCCCTTGGATTAAAAATAGAGGGACATGATGCAGTACTGGTATATTTTACAGAACAGACCTTTAAGTCTAACTAAATCGAGCGAATCTACATCCCAAACCCAGTTTTGTTCATCCCCTCTCCTGCTCGAACGAATCTGTTTCTTTCTTTCTTTTTGCAAGAGATGCTTTAACTTATTGTTGACCAACAAATCTGCTATCTGGCTATTCTGTGGAAAGGAATGATAATCCCCAAATCTGCTTACGAAACTGCCTCACGTACGATCAAAATGTCATACGATTTATACGACAAGAGACAGGCCCGTTTCCCAAGGTCTGGGCCCACCACACCAGATGAGTCTTGTCGTACGAAGATCGTACCGAATTTGATCATACGTATAGCAGCTCTCATCTGCTTACCTATATGATAGAATTAAGAGGCGCTTTGTATGACTGTTAATAATTACATATCAAGTGTCATAATCATGGAGAAGTTGCACCAAAGTGGCTACGTCCAGGCTACAATTGGCTCAAGGAAGATTAATCAAATCAGGATACACACTGTACAAAGTCCTGAAAATTTAACAGTATCATATTTCAATTTCTGTACACCACTGACAGTCGGATTCAAACATTGTGCACATGTATATGATGTAATATATTTCACAATGATAGCTTTGTTGTACAGAATTCTTGAACAGAAGGCCCACTGTGCTCTATTATCAACCACTTTACTACAAGAGATACTACATTACATGTCAGATGCCAACATATCCTGACTTAAGCAATAGCTTGAGCACCATGCAGCTCCCATCGTCATCTGACGGCGACATCTTGGCTGGCTGAAAAAGACAAAGTGGATGCAACTACAAAGCAAACTTTTTTCCCTCTGAAGATGAGCTTGCAGCTGAACATGCAGACAGTACGTGAAAAATAGGAACACCATGTATTTTGTAGAAACATATTCAAGATGCAAGGTCAACAAAATTATCTGGTTGGATAAGAATAAACTTTATGCTAAAGACCATGTCAATGATACTGCTTAAGATTTTGTACTTGATCATGGCTCTTACTCCTAAAATCATTGCTGAGTGTTGATTACAAAAAAAAATGTTCTTACTTGCTGTCATTAGAAAAAAGAAGGGCACACCTCTTGCTTTCATTTTATTCAAATGAAACTTGAAAGTGTGATTTTCTCGGATGTGAGCACAGGAGCAAGCATCAAACGTGGTACAGAAACAGATGAACAAAAAAAAAACAATAGCCACAGGTCAGCCAGAATACAAGCTGAATCAACAGCCAAATAAATGTCGCCAAGTAGGATCGCTTGAAGATTAAACATGAGCGAAGATGGGAAATCGCAGCACGGTTCCCTCTGGTTGTGTTCTAGGACATCATTAACACTGACGCAGGGGCCTCGAACTAGCTTGCATATAAAAAATTTGTGAGATGACTCTAGGGATGTACGCTCTATCAGTATTGTTGATTTTAAAGCATTGTTAGAATGCGGATTGCAACAAGTAAAAAATCATGAATAAGAAGAACTAGTACAGATTTCAGAAAGGTAAACTGGACATCAAAGCGGAGTTTCAATTTAAGAATCAACAAATTGAATCAAAAGAACACACAGCAAAATATAATCTACTCTAGGTATGTACGCTGACTCGCTCATAACCGTTTTTCACATACAAGTCATAAAATTTATGCACAAATGTAGATATGAAAACTGTTTACGAATTAAGTATGGGAACAAGGAGCACAGCTCTTTGCCTGATTGATTTATAGTCCATTCCTGCAATTGGGGGGAATTGATAGATGGGAAGAAAAGTAACACTCCAGATAATTGAATAGGAGATCATACCCTGGATACTTTAAGCTGGAGAAGATGGCCGGCTTATTTGTGATGGCTGGGTCGACATTGCCCGGACCTACAGCACAGAAAAAAATTATATGAGACCAGGTCTTATATAAATCAGGTGAGACCCGTCCTAATGGATGACATGTGGCATTCATAAATCACAAAGCATATAATCTCTCCCATTTCCCCTACAGCACGGTGGCGCTACATGTACGCGCTTGCCGGTGGCGCGGCCGTTTCAGGGGAGAGGAGGGGCGCTGGCAGTGGCGTACCCAGAGGGTGTGCCATGGCACACCCAGATTTTTGGAAGATATTTTTTCACCATGTCAAAATTAGCTTATTTTTAATGCCCATGCAAGCTAATTACAATAGACTTCAGTTTTCTTAACGTGTGCACATCCTCCATTTTATTTCTAGGTCCGCCACTGGGCGCTGGTGCTTGTACGAAGCTGGACTAGGTACAGGACACAAGAGGGTGGAGGTCAAGTGGCCCAACAAAGGGTGGAGGGAGGGAAGAGAGGCGACGGAGCAAATTGCTAACCCTAGCTTGCAAATCGTTGGTGTACTGGTTCAGAAGGGAGCAGAGCCAAGGGAAGAAGACGATGGGATCATAGAAGGACTGCGTGCGCAGTTGAATAATTTTACAAGGTCCATTGTGTGAAATGTACCAGCTGCCACCTTATACTAAACATCCAGTCCGTCTGTTCTCCATCAAGTGGCCTAGAATCAGCCGGCGCATTTGTAGCACCAATTCAGCCGGTGCACAGGATACGTGGTAGTGAAGTCAGCGAGAGAAGGAAAACCCCAACAAAAAGGAAAAGTTGCTATAGTTTTTGGAACAACTTTTTTTGACCCGTGGAACAGTTTTTTTAAAGTCAAGTATTCCTCTTTAATGAAGAAACAACGTAGGATGGTTACCTGCATCATTTTTTGCCCTTTTACACACTTTGTCCTGGTTGAGTCTGGTTGAGCATATGCAGGCAAAAAATCAACATCTGCGTGTTGATTGGTTGCCTGCATCTCCTCTCCCCACATCGTAGCATCGCCTCTATGCATCGTGTTTGGTTGCTCGTATTGGTTGTGCTCATACTAGTGCACTTTGTTTGGTTGCATGGACATGATTAAGAGTTAACAACTACACATAACACACAGTGTTACACGGCGGAAGGCCGCGGTCAAACTAAACACGTTGTCCAACCGCACACGCCTGGTCGTTGCACTCCACTGACTTGCCACCAGCACCGCCGGCCGGCTTCCCGCCCTTGCTCGACCCGTCCGACTCGGCCCTCTGTGTGCCATCCTAGTGGTCGGACGTGAATGCGACCTCGACGATATCATATGGCGCCACCGGCGGGACTTCTTCGGCGCCGAGAGCCGCTCTATGGCCCTTTGTGTTGAGTGGGTTGATCCAGCTGAAGGTGGCCAATGAGAGCCACGACACCGTCTCGTACGACGTTGCCGCAACGACATGATCAGGCGCACCACCCCGCTCCTCGTTGGACACGAACGCCGAATCACCGAGGCCGCTGGAGCCGTTGATTGCGAAGTATAGCAGAGGATGCAATAGGACAAGCACGACGAACATGATGGGGCCATCGGGAAGGATGGGCTCACCTGCCACGAAGCGCGCGAAAGCGGAGCCAGAGAAGAGGGCGGCGAGCAGCGCCGTCCCAAGCCAGAAGATGTGGAGGTGCGGCGAGTGGGCGCGCGCGGCCCTGACTTTCTCCACCACGAGGAAGGCGCGCTGGACCACGACCCACTCGCCCCGGCCCTGCCCACGGGGAGGAGCAGGAACAAGAGCATGAGCAGCACGAGCGACGCGGCGGCCTACACCGAGGACGGGGAGCAGGCCATGGTGGCCATCCACCACAGGGTAGAGGAGGAGGGCCTCGGCATGGCGGAGGCACCACGGCGGAAGAAGAGCCGCCGCCGCCGCAGAGGTCAAACATGCGCAACGAATTTGACACGAAATTCACCCAAAATAACTCCAAACATGAACACGAAACTAAGCATTTACGGTCTATGAAACTAGAAACCTTAAGATAGATGTGCATCTTTTTTGTGTAAAGCTTATCTCAAATCGAAGCATCATTGTGTAGATCGAAAGGGAGGAGGAAGAAGGGGATTAGAGGAGGCAGGAGAAGATAGCACATACATGCTGTACAGTAGCTTGCACCCCTCTTGTATCCTCTCGTGCAACGGGTCCCACTACTTGCACTTGATCTGGCTTGTCTCAGGCTGGCTCGCAAAAAACGGCCGATTCAGCCGTTCCTTCAGAGTCAGGCCCAGAGCTGCTTTGAGGTTCGTGCAAGTCAGAAACCAGATGCAGCCCAGGCAACTAAACAGGCCAATTTCTTCCCATGAGGCCTGGCTGGACCTAATGCAGCCTACCAAACACATCCGTATATGTTCCCTTCGTTTCAAAATAAGTGGTGTGGTTCGAATTAAAACCACGACAAAGCCTGAAGGCGGACTCGTTTGCTACACACGTCATCTGAGATCTGACATCCTTGCTGAATAGCCTTGATCACTCCTTCACAAAGCAATTTTTGCCTTGCTGCCATTAGATCATATGCTAGCGGTAGTCCTTCTCGACATGTTTCAAGGATTTCTCGGTCCATAAGACCAACAAAGGTGATACTCGAAGCACGCGTAAAAATGTCTTCTCTATTATGGTGACCACCCCACCTTAGCCTTTGTTGTCTTTCTTCCCAACTGTTGCATATACATTTAAACTGTTTGAACTGTTGGACTTGCCTTTAGGGTAAAAAAAATCTCCCACGTGTGATACAACTTTGACGAGACAAAATGGCTAACATGCCACCCAACACCACCGCCATCTCTGTGTGGTGGCAGCTAAGAGAGTGGGGGAGGGAGGTGGTGACAACGTGTTGGCGCTAAGTCGTAGTTGCACGACAAGTGTCAGCGATGACACATGCTGGACGGCGTAAAGGTATAATGTTTCTCTAAGACTCTGTGGTGGATGAAGTCAGAGTTGCCGACGGTTGGCAATGTTTAGGATGTGTTTGTTTGGGTTGTCTCGTTTGGTTTGATACAATGATGTTTTTCTTTTACATGTCGGTGGCGCTAAGACGTGGAGCAAGAGTCGGCGAGTCGAGGGCACTTGATGATGATGGCAATGACGCTGATGAGCAACATTGAGGGTTGGAGCTTGCACTTTGTATCTAGTTTGGCTTGTTCGGGTCTATGCTGGGCCTGGCTTGTTGGGGCCAAGGTTGTAAGGTTTGCACCTGATTTTTGCTAATTAATTGGACAACTTTCTTGTGCTTTAATGAAAAGGGGTGAGAGCACGGTTGAAAAAAAAACTCATATGCTCAATTAACCTAGAAAAAGGGGAAAAAGCCATGGATGGGTCTTGTGCGAGCCTTACTAAGGGCCAGTTTTTTTTGGCGATTCTTCCAGAATCGGCTGGGCTTTGGGCCTAACCGGCTAACGGCTACCACGAAAAAAGAGCGCACGCAAAGAGAGAGCGCCTACTCGGCGCCTTCAGCGCCGCTTGACGTGACGGCGCTCACTGAAGCAACCTGGTGGGCCGGCCCACGAATACACAACGTTGCAATCTATATATATAGCACGAAAAAATGACCGCCAAATGTCGTCCTGGTGCGGAATCGGACCCGTACCTCTTACCTCACGTCCATGGTTAGCTAACCACTAGAGCAAGTGGCTCTTTTCGAACTAATCTAGCGCGACACGGTGTAACAACAGAATACTATTGACACGCTATTTATTTCAAGTACATTGTCACGTAGGTTTTTGATTTATTTGAAAACATTTTACAAAAAACATTATTTATTTTGAAAAAATGTGAACAAAATCTGAAACTTGCCATATTTAAAAAATAGTCACGAATTAGAAAAATGTTCATGTATTCAAAAAAGTTCACGAATTCAAAAAGTGTATGTAAATTGAAAAAGTTCATCTATTTTATAAAATGTTCGAAAAATCTAAAAAAAGTTCATCGATA